TTTTTACTTAGTAAAATAAGGCAATTGCTCAAGGAAGCGTGACTCCACGCTCTTTAACGAGAGTGAAACAACATAAACCCCATTTAAACACCCTAATCAAAGAGCTTTCCAAACCGAAACCCATACCACTATACGAGTTTAGTTAGAAACCCAACCCTTCCTTAGTCAACGCCCCCACCACCGCGAATACAGAAAAAGGCGCAACACATTAAATAAAAATAGAACCCTGAAAAAAAGTGGTTTTTTCAAAAGCCCCCATCTCAAAGTCAACTCCCCCCTCCCTCCTCATCACTTCCCATCTTCTTCTCCCCATCTTCTCTCTCTCTCTCTCTCTCTCTGAAACCAGCTATGAGAATCACTTTATACTGATTTCAAATTCAAATACCCACTAAGTAAATCAAGAAAAGCTCTGATTTTTATTTCTGTAAAGATTTGATATGGGTAATGGGATTGGGAAGCTTAGTTTTTGCTTTACAGGCGGAGATGCTCTCCGCCGGAGAAAGGAGGTTCCTTACTATTTGTCGGAGCCTCTCGATGAAGGCCTTGGCCACTCCTTCTGTTACGTCCGACCCGACCCAGCTCGGTTATCATCGTCCAAAGTCCATTCCGAGGAATCAACGACCACGTTCCGTACAATCTCTGGTGCCTCCGTGAGCGCTAACACGTCTACTCCTCTATCGACCTCCCTGGTGGATCCGTACGCCTACAGTTGCTTCGATCGGGCGGCGACTTTTGAGAGTTCGACGTTGTTTGCTTCGATCCCTCTGCAACCGATTCCGAGGAATATGTCGGGTCCGATGTCCGGGAATCTTGTTCCGGGTTCGGGTCCTCTGGAGAGGGGGTTCATGTCAGGTCCAATTGAGAGAGGTTTTATGTCCGGTCCGCTTGATAATAACAATCGCGGTTTGTTCTCGGGTCCACTTGAAAAGGGATTTTCCGATCAGTTTCCGAGGAGTTTCTCTCACGGAGCTTTTGCTTTTAAACCCAGATCGAAAAAGGGGTGGTTGATTCGGGCCCTCCAGAGGGCGATATCGAAGACGGTGTCTCGAGGGCAGAGCTCGATTGTGGCTCCGATTAAGGGCGTAGTAAAAGAACCAGATTGGGTTCTTGGGTCCGAGAAGAATCAAAATCAACTTACCCATAACGAGAATTTGACAATTAGCAGCTTGAATCTGAGTAGCGAGGGGAGTCTAGAGGATGATGATTCATTGGAGAGTCAGAATCTTCAATGGGCGCAGGGAAAAGCAGGAGAGGATCGCGTACATGTGGTGGTGTCGGAGGAACACAGGTGGGTTTTTGTTGGGATTTACGATGGATTCAACGGCCCTGATGCGACTGATTATCTATTGTCAAATCTCTACCCTGCCGTGCATAAAGAGCTCAAGGGTTTGTTGTGGGATGATAAGGAACATACTCTGCCTGCAACAGCCCCTGCTTCCTCCCCTGAGGTAATTGAAGAATCGAATCAGATAAGTGATCGGAATGGTGTCGAAGATGCTTGCTCACTAAGTGTCGAAGATGCTTGCTCACTGGGTGTCGAAGAAGAGAATTACCCTTCTGAGGATGTTGAATTTGATTCGAATTCAAAGAGGAAAAGAGGGAAGAATTCGAGGAGGAGGCACAGAGGAGTTGCAAACAAGTGGGAGGAGAATCAGAGGAGGTGGAAGTGTGAATGGGACAGGGGAAGACTAGAGCTCGAGCAGAGATTAAAGGAGCAGTTGAACAGAAATGGGTCCGATGGGTCTAGAAGTGTAAATCACTCAGAGGTGCTGAAAGCCCTGTCTCAGGCTCTGAGGAAAACAGAGGAGTCTTATTTAGATATTGCTGATAAGATGCTGATGGAGAACCCGGAACTGGCCTTGATGGGTTCTTGTGTGCTTGTGATGCTAATGAAGGGAGAGGATGTTTATGTGATGAATGTTGGGGACAGTAGAGCAGTGTTAGCACAGAAGGCAGAACCAGATTACTGGTTGGGGAAGGCTAGACAGGATTTGGAAAGAATCAATGAAGAAACATTACATGATCTTGAAGTGTACGATGGAGATCAACCTGATTCAGTTCTGAACGTAACTGCTCTTCAGCTCACTGTGGATCATAGCACCAGTATTGAAGAGGTTAGAACTTGTTCTCTGTGCCTATTTTATCCACACGCTAAATATGAGACTACTTTGATTGATGAAATTGTTAAGATTTTAGGTTAGCTCTTTGTGTTATATGTATTAAGCTTCATGTTAATTTGCATTTCAGGAAGTTGAAAGAATAAGAAATGAACATCCGGATGATGCTTGTGCTGTGATGAATGACCGGGTGAAAGGTTCTTTGAAGGTCACTAGAGCTTTTGGTGCTGGTTTTCTCAAGCAGGTAAGAAGCTTTTAATCTTTTCATCTAATAATGAGCTATTACACTGGCTTCTGTTTTAGGACTTGTCAAGGTGTCATATAGTTATGCTTAAATATCAGTAACATTGTACACATTCATCATAGCTGGATGGCCTGGATCATTACAGACTAGATGCTAAATTTCAAAATTTTTGTTTGGTTAGCATAATACATAATTACACAGTTGCATGTAAGAAAAATAGTTAGTTATAAACATGTAGTTATGTTTCCAGCTATAGTGAAATACGTTAGGAATCATTTTCTGGGAAAACATACTGTTGAAAACTATTCCATACAAGGGGATTGCCTATTCAGTTTCTGAGATAGCCATACGACTTGTTTCATTGGAATGCCTAATGTATTTGCATTTGCTTTTGGAAACTATTATGTTGTTAGACTTAAGGAGGTTTGATTAGAAATGCGGTATCTGAAATGCATTTTTGTTTGGAATGTCTGCAGCCTAAATGGAATGATGCACTTCTCGAGATGTTCAGAATAGATTACAAAGGAACTTCTCCATATATAACATGCATACCATCTCTCCACCACCACAAATTAGGCCCAAAAGACAGGTTTTTGATATTATCCTCTGATGGCCTATACCAATACTTCACAAACGAAGAAGCCATTTCTGAAGTTGAACTTTTCATCACATTGCAACCTGAAGGAGATCCTGCTCAGCATCTTGTTGAGGAGGTCCTGTTTCGTGCTGCAAAGAAAGCTGGTAATCTTCAAATATCATTCTGAACAATTTTTTTATTCTCAAATCTCTCTTTCTTTTCCCACAGAAAGAGTACCAAACTGAATTTGGTTCATTTGGATTCTGTTAATTGCAGGCATGGACTTCCATGAACTACTCGAAATACCACAAGGGGATAGACGAAGATACCATGACGATATTTCCATCATAGTTATTTCATTGGAGGGAAGGATATGGAGATCTTGTGTATAAGGATAGAAAAACAGTAGATATACTACTGAAAAAAAAAAAAAAAAAAACCCTCAGGCATTTTCTTTTTGCCTGTTTTTCTTTCTCAGTCACCTTTGTAACATAAACAGTCAAGCTCCATCGATGCAAAGGAACTTGATTGTGTAATGTACTGTCGGTGATGCTGAGGGGTGTAAAGGTGTAAAATCTGGTTCATGTTGATTATATAAACCGTCATAAAAGAAATGTAATTTTGTACTAATAAATGGCATTCCTTTTGAAAAGGGTTGTGTGTAATGTCATTGTCTCTATCCTCCGCAATCACTTTCTTGTTACTTCTTTTTCCCCACAAACATATGGGGGTAGCAATACCAGTTGCTGAGCATCTGCATCTTTTGTTTTCCATTCATTCTTTTAATAAACAATTAAGAAATACTTTGCCTTCAGTTTGCTTTCTAGAATTCTACCTTTTTCCCCTTGCAGATTAACATGGTCGTATTGGTTGCTTAAAAGCTCGGAAGCAATGCAGATATTTCATATTTGAATTGTTGATTCTTTAGGCAACATTCTCCTCAATTTCTCT